AGCTGAAGAAAACTCAAAAATCCGATATTCTAATATTTTGAGATAGGATATTTGGGTTTCTTAAGCTGTAAGCCATAATCAGCGATATTAAAACAATAAAAGGCTTGCGATATTTCAGTTGATTTGTAATGAATCCAGAATGTATGACATTTCATGTTTGTTAATTGCATTACAGAAAATATAGAACTTTATCACAATATTCAAATTTTCTGAGACAGTCCTGTATATGAATGTTACACTGATGTGAATCAATAATAAAGATAATAGCGATCATGCCACCCTCTCTAATTGATCCACAAAGGAGCTGAACAAGAAGAAGACCCAGAAGGAGATGGAGCACGCCATGCTGATCCGCCATGATGAATCCACGCAGGAGTTGGAGCAGCGGCAGCTGAAGACGCTGCAGAAACTGAGGATGGATCTGATCCGCCTGCAGCACCAGACCGAGCTGGAGAACCAGATCGAGTACAACAACCGACGCGAGCGGGAACTGCACCGCAAACACGTGCTGGAGCTCCGGCAGCAGCCCAAAAACCTCAAAGTGAGTCTCTTTGTTTTGTTTGTTTTTTTAACTCATTGACTGCCAGAACAGAGAGTCCCATACTAATTTTGCTACGAGCGAAGATGGAATTTGGTCGTTCTTGGTGGCAAATATTAGGGATGTCCCAATCCAGATTTTTTCACTTCCATTCCGAACCCGGCCTATCAGAGCATGTTTGAAAGTTTAAAGTTATTTATCTACTTACTTAGTTGTCAGACTCATGTAGAACAGGGATTTACTCTAATAACAACTTAACTCATTGACTGCCAGCCATTTTCAGAACAGAGAGTCCCATACTGACAGTTTTTTGAGCAATTTGACTGATTTTTCAAGAGCCACAGAATAGTTTGTGCTATGACTATGTAAACACCGAACAGACCAAAAGAAAGAGTAGACTCTCTTCTTTCATCAGGAAAAAAAATGTGTTTCTACCTTATTCCGTTCTTCCTGGACTTGCGTCTCACCGGCGACATGTTCTCTCATATCGAACCGTTACCTTTTTCTTATTTGCCTACAGTCTATGCTCATCTCCCATCAAAAGTGGCACTGCCACCTAGAGGGTCAATTTGTTACTACATACTCTGTCTAGAAGCCTGATATTTACGGACAAGCTTTAGCAGATCGTCCCCGAAGCCACTCTCGTTGAAAAACATAAAAGACGTCTATAGATGTCTTTGGCAGTCAACGGTTGGATTTGAATTGACGTCTATAGACGTCTTTGGCAGCCAAGGAGTTAATGGAAAACTTCGAAATCGCTTTTGTTATAGCAAAATATTTTAAAAAATCTGTTGTCTTTGAAGACATAGCTTGGATGGCGCAAGCAACCTGCAATCTTTTATGCCCCCCTTTTTATACTACTGATGCAACCTGAACGTAATGAATTAGGTTAGGAAAAATGGTGTAAGACCGTACAAAATATGTCTTCTCTGAATTCAGTGACACTTTGATTTTAGGATTTTAGGTCAGTGAAAAATGAGCATGTGGCCACATTAACCTCGGTTTAAAATCGATTATTACGACGCCATCCGATTATTTCTCCGTCTCTGTCCGCCAGGCGTTGGAGCTCCAGATAAAGAAGCAGTTCCAGGACACGTGTAAAGTTCAGACCAAGCAGTACAAGGCGCTGCGCCACCACCAGATGGAAGTCACACCGAAGGCCGAGCACAAGACCGTGCTCAAGGCGCTTAAGGACGAGCAAACGCGCAAGCTAGCTATCCTCGCCGAGCAGTACGAGCAGAGCATCAACGAGATGATGGCCTCACAAGCGGTAAGACACCTAAAAATAATAGACTTAGACTTAGACTTAGACTTAGACAGTACTTTATTGATCCCTTGGGACAACTCCCTCAGGAAATTAAGGTTACCAGCAGCTTAATCCTGCAAATGGAACGGCCATTTTGCCAAACTTATAGGTAGGGTTGTTACGATACTAAAATGTTCAACTCGATACCGATACTCAGGAAAATACTCGATACCATTTTCGATACCACAAGGATAAAAACAAAGACCCCAAAATTTAACTGAATTGTGTCTTTCATGTCAAACTGACCTGTTACTGATGTTATCGTGACTGGTGGCCCACATTAATGACCCTAACCCTAACCCTAACCCTAAACCTGACCCTGAGCCTATCCCTAACCCTGACTCTAACCCTCCAGCCTTCATAATTGTGAGAAATAAATATTTTTTGGTTAAACTTGTTTGGACTTATTGTACAAACCTATTTAACATACACTATTTTAACATAATATGTATAGAGTTTAATTAAGTGTTTGAAAGATTCATTTAACTATTTTTAAATTAATGTCTATATTGCCATGAAGCAATTAGGATTTTCTCGCCTGGGATCTTCCTATTGGTGACCTAATCAAAATGGCCGACTTGGATGTGGGCGGAGTTGGATATGTACTCGATTAAGGGTTGCATGTTATTATCAGCCATTAGCCGCAGCTAGCAAGGCTAACGTCTTGTTAATCATCATAAACAACGTAAATAAATACATAAATAAATCAGAGAGAAGGGGGTGGGGGTATTGATACTTTTGAAAATGAGTATCCTGTCCGGATACAACATTTTAGTATCGATTTTTTTTCGAGAATCGATACTTTTGACAACCCTACTTATAGGTGAATCAGAAGTCTTTTGCTGGACCTATTGCTCATGATCTGACATTTGAACTGTGGAACTCTGGGTTACGTTCATTTACTGACCTGCCACTGTTCAAAGCTCAACTTAAAACGTATTTGTTCAGGATGGCTTTTGGCACGTAAAATCTCTGTATAGTGGGTTCTGTCACCGATGTGTTTGTCCTTGTGTATTTCGATAGTTTGATCTGTTTTTATTCTGTAAAGCACTTTGGTCAGCTCCGGTTGTTGCAAAGCGCTATATAAATGAACATTGATTAATTGATTGATTGATTGATTGATTGATTGATTGATTGATTGATTGATTGATTGATTGATTGATTGATTTTCTTCCTCCTCCTTGTCTCTATTCTGTCTCCCTTTCTCACCATTGCTCCTCGTTCCCCTGTCGACTGTCTGTCCACATCCTGTTGGTCCCTTTTTGCTCTTAAATTCCCGTCAACCATCTCCCCGCCTCTCTCTCTCTCTCTCTCTCTCTGTCTCTCTCTCTCTCCGTCTCTCTCCCTCTCTCTGTCTCTCTCTCTCTCTCTGTCTCTCTGTCTCTCTCTCAATCTCTATCTCTCTCCCTCTCTCTCTCTCTGTCTCTGTCTCTCTCTCTCTCTGACTCTGTCTCTCTCTCTCTCTCTCCCTCTCCTCTCTCTCTCTCTCTCTCTCTCCCTCTCCTCTCTCCCTCCCTCCCTCTCCTCTGACTCTCTCCCTCCCTCTCTCCCTCCCTCCCTCCCTCCCTCTCTCTCCCTCTCTCTCCCTCCCTCCCTCTCTCCCTCTCTCTCCCTCTCTCAGCTGCGTCTGGATGAGGCCCAGGAAGCGGAGTGCCAGGCCCTGAGGCAGCAGCTGCAGCAGGAGATGGAGCTGCTCAACGCCTACCAGAGCAAGATCAAGATGCAGACCGAGGCTCAGCACGACCGCGAGCAGCAGAAGCTCGAGCAGAAGGTCTCGCTGCGCCGCGCTCACCTGGAACAAAAGGTGCGCCGGGAAGAGTCTTTTCCTAACCCACACCAGTCAAGTCACATATTTGCCGTTTATCCATCCATCCATCCATCCATCTATTATCAATACCGCTTATTCCCTGATGGGGTCGTGGGGGAACTGGAGCCTATCCCAGTGGTCAACAGGCGAGAGGCAGGGTACACCCTGGACAGTCCCCAGTCCATCACAGAGACACACAGAGACACACAAGGACCAACAACCACACACACTCACATTCACTCCTAAGGGCAATTTCCCCAATCTCCAACCAACCTAACATGCAGGTTTTTGGACTGTGGGAGGAAGCCGGAGAACCCGGAGAGAACCCACAGACACAGGAGAACATGCAGACTCCACCCAGAAAGGTCCTGGTTCCCCCGGGATTCAAACCCAGAACCCTCTTGCTGGGAGGCGACAGTGCTAACCACCACACCACCGTGCCCCCCCATATTTGCCGTTTACTTCCATTTAAATCGGTTACAATCAATCAGTTACAATCAATTTTACTCAACTATTAGTCATCGTACCTTGACAAATGATAAGGAAGTTCATCTCACTGTGTTCAAATTAAGGCCTGATAATCACACACCATTCAACATACTAACCTTAACCCTTAAAATGAACCCGCTAGTTATTTTGAATCTGTTCTTTATTCAAGAACCTCTTCTATTTGAGCAGCTTTTTTTAACAAAGCAACCAAAACACAACTTTTTCTGAAAACAAACACAACCCCAAAATGAGGTGACTTTATTTGAAACTTGCTTTAAGACTTTAAACCTGTCTTTTTAAGGGGTTTATTTGAAGCAGTGGCCAGAAACCATCCCAAGTCAAATGTTTTTTGCATGAATACCTCAAAAGGACTAAGCTACTTTAAGGGGGCGTTTGTAACGGTCAACTGCCCAATATCCACTCTTTTAAAAGACGATGTAACAAATCCCATGATGACATAATGAACCTGATGTCTTCTGCATCCTTTAAGTTATTCTGTGGCTATAAAGTTAGGAAAAAAGATAAAGTGGGGACACCAGTTATCGGAAGAAAAAATCCATATTTTCAATCAAAGGTTCTCAACATATTAAATCAGGGAGGAATGGATCGTTCTAAACCTCTGGGGCCTGTGCGTTTCTACGCAGACGAACTAAGGCAAGGCAAGGCATTTTTATTTATATAGCGCAATTCATACCAAGCGGCAACTCAATGTGCTTTACATTAAGACAAGACATTTTAAATAAAAAAGAACAGCATAAAAAAACCCCCCAGTAATTTTATTACAACTATCTCACATCTGGGCCTAAGCCATCGGATCCGGATACACATTAGCATCCACATCAGCAGGCAGCGGGAAAAGTGACCCAGAAAGACATGTTCACACACACACACACACACACACACACACACACACTCACAACCGCACACACACACACACACACACACACAGATTTCCCTCACCACAGGTGGTGATGACAGTGGGATAACGACCAGCGTTTCTCTCTCCCACACACTCGTAACTGTAGTGAAATCTGTGAAATCTGCTCGTATAATTGTGTAATTGTTCTCTTTTTCCGTTATGAAGTCTGCAGCTTTTGTGGAGCAGGTTATTTTTCTCCTGGTCCAAATCTGGCTGTTTTATTAAGACCCAAAACCCACCTGAGAGCACATCAGTCTGCTTTGATGTTTGATGTTCCCGTTTTTGTCGCCCGATTTTACGACTATTTTCCAAACTGACCGACGTCATCGTCACAGTCTAGTAGACAGCACTCCGACAACAAAGGAGGATCCAGTTCTGCTTCTGCTGGGTCCGGCCCTGAACCGTGGGGGTGTGGCGCCCCCTCCTGGTGGCTGCTGGGATTACACGCAGGCCACTGGGATGATGTCATGGTGTTCCTTTTTTTATTTATTTATTTGTCTTTTCTTTTTTTTAAGAAGCACCATTGTCCTCCGGTTTGGGTTCATGGTCGGAGTCTGGAGTTTTCTGTGCATGCTCAGATTGCCGTATTGCGCCATGCGGTTTGTCTCTGTCTGCACCTGTGCACAACTCACACACACAGTCCGCATCTTTGCATCTTTTTTAGCAGCTCTGCAGTGCGGCCGTCATAACGAATCCTGTTGGCCGGAGTTTACCTCTGAGCTGCCTCATATTTGCCCTCAAAAGCAAACCCAGACAGTACAAATGAAGAGGAAGATAAGGAAATTAAATGCAAATCTCAGCTCTTTCACTAAAGTAGCGAACTGTACACAAAGGGACCGCTGTTTTGAGTTCTTTAGCTCGATCTCAGTCTTTCCAGGAAGTGTTTGATCAAAGGACCACAACATTACTCAATTACTGCATAATAAAGACACAAATATACCCGGCGGTCATGTGACCTGTCAGACACCACAAGCTTTCATATGCATAAAGAGATAAAACAGCCCCTCCCTCTGTGGGGGAAATGAACTATTAAAACAACTCATGGCTTTTAAGTGTTAAAATTCAGATAAATGGCCGGCTGCCAAAGGTAGAATTCAAAGTGGGGTTTTTTTTATTTACAGATTATTTAAACAAACCCCGTCCAAATCAAAACCAAACTTTAAAAGTAAACTGAAATGTATTCAGTGAGGTCTGAGCAAATATATAAAAAAAACACCCTTTCACATATCAAGGAAGCAACCTCCTGCTCGCTTTGTTAGAAAAAGTTTCCCATTAAATGTTTTGAATAAATGTGGCAGCTCAGGATACATGTGTGTGTCTGCATGTGTGTGTGTGTGTATCTGCATGTGTGTGATTGTGTGTGTATCTGCATGTGTGTGATTGTGTGTGTGTGTGAGCCAAATGCGCAAAGCTGCCTCCCGTCCCATTGTGTGTTTCTCTGGGCCTGATAATTCACTTAGACATGAAATAACTGTGTGAAATGTCATAATCCTGATAAGTTATATAAACCAGATAATATCCATATATGTCCCATAAAAATCAGATGTTAATAAAATATTGCTCTAGCAAAAATCTCAATAGATGGATGCTTTCCTGGATGCATGGATAGGAAACTCTGGGATTCTCAGACCTGTAGAACCTTTGGAAATGCACGTCCCCATTCGTCCTATTTCCGTCATACGTTCCTATATATTTATTTATTTATTTATTTGAATAGGGACAAAGCACATTAATGAACATCAGTCAAAAACAAATGTAAATATGCCGGATTGTAGCGACAAAGCTAATTTTCATCCGTAGTCCCCAGGCAGGCAAAGGCATAAAAAATAACATATAATAAACAATACAAGCATCACAAGTAAATGTTTAGATTTTAGTGGTCACATGACTGGTTTGCTTTCATCCAAAATTTAAGTTGAGCTCTAAAGCTGGTCAGTGTGGGGCTCTCCCGTATGTGCAGAGGCAGATATATAATGAAAACACGTATATCTGTGTGTATGTGTGTGCTTTGAGTCAGTCCAGTGTGTGTGTGTGTGTGTTTTGACTTAGTGCAAGTAGAATGTGCCATTTCAGTGTTAAGGGGCGGTATTCGATGATGTGCGGGGGATAAATGTTCAGCACTCTTGATTGCTTGGCGTATGAACCTTTGTGTTTTTTTTAAATGTTTCCTGGTCTGTTGGTTTTCCTCCCCTCAGATCGAGGAGGAGCTGGGCTCGCTGCAGAAGGAGCGCACCGACCGGATCAAACACCTTCTGGAGCGCCAGGAGCGGGAGATCGACAACTTCGACATGGAGAGCATGCGTCTGGGCTTCGGGAACCTGGGAACGCTGGACTTCCCAAAGGACGACTACAGATGAGGGGCGTCATGGCAACAACCCCCCCCCCCCCCCCACGTCTCCTCTGACCGGACCCGGCTCTAAAGGTTCCCACGCTGCCGACACAAACACACAAACACACAAAAAACTCAAACACGGCCTCAGAGTTCTCTGGGCTGGTCAGACTGGGGTCGTTGGTACGATCCAAACCTCCAAAACCCGACTGAACTTCCTCTCCCTCATCCTCCTCTCCCTCTTTCCTTGCCTCTCATGATGTCACGAGATGACAAAAAGAAAAAAAAAAGAGAAAAAAATGCTGGATAACCTCCTGTAGTTGTCATGTTTTTGTAGGAATTCTGATAACGTAGTCACAGTGCTCCTTGTTTCTCGTGCGGTGACGACAGTTTTGGTGCCAGTGGAAAAAGTGGGAATTCAAAAAGAAAAGTGGGAATTCAAAAAGAGGGCGAGAGAAAAGAAGAAGAAAAACGAGGGCAGTCGGGCGAGCGTTCCCAGAAGTTTTTGGATTAGTCTTCATTTGTTTTTGTTTTTTTTAAGCAGATAGCAGAGCAAAAAATTTAAAAAAGAAGAAAATTCCTAAAGCGATAAATCAAACGGCAGCCGTTCTGTCCGTGCTGCTTTGGTTCTTGTTCATCAGGACGTTTTTAGACAAGAGAATCGAACAATTTGATACTTTGGAGACACAAATATCACAGTGCACGCACACTGGGGCTGAACGGGACTCCTCCAGGGGGGAGGCGGTATCATGGTACGGGCCTCAGCTGGCACAAAGGGCTTCATGGGCGGGGCGGGTGGGGGGGGCTGTTCTTTGGATGGATTTATGGAGAGCTTTTACTTATTTTCGTAATGTATTTTAACTGTCACACGAATCAAAAAGATTTTTTAAAGATGCTTCTTTTTTTTTTTGTTCGTTTCCTCCCCCCTCCTCCTCGGATAAGTGTCTGCGGTCCAATCTTTTATCAACAGGAATTTCATCTGATTTTTTTTTTCTTTCTTTCATTTTGCTTTACACAACTCCCGAGCTGTGTATTTTTCTTATAAACCAGACCAGTATGATGCTTTATTATTGCATGCACTTTATTTTTTTTTCCAGGTTTAAAGAAAGCATGAATCTGTCAGAGCTTTTAATTATATTTGTAAATAAAGTGCTCATCACACAAAAAATCGGATGTCTTGTTTGATTGTCTCACAAATGAACAGCCTGAATAAGTTCAGTTTCAGTATTTATTTGAGTTAATGTTCTTTATACATTTACTGTGATCTAATGTACAGGTTACTAACAGCAGAGCTCTGAACTGAACATGAGGACATCTGGACCTTTATTTATTAGGAATCCATCACTTTGAAAAAATAAACAAGGCATTAAGGCATTTCTTCTCACATTTGAAAACAAAGACAAAAAACTGGAAGTAAACGGGTGATTTTACAGAGCATATTCATGATCAAGAGGATCAGAGAAGTGGTTTAATGGTTTAAAGAATTGGTTTTTAGTGTGCGTAGCTTCATTGAACTGCTTTTTTTCTCACATCAGGTGGAATTCTCAGAAGCGCATTTTGAATTGGAGCTTTCTTTTTTGTTTTTATTGTCAGAAAATAGATTGTTTTTTTTCTCAGCTTCAGTCTGAGAACGCGGTGCCCAAACCCTTCTCATTTTCCAGCGAGTTGCTCGTAGAGTTTGGGGACGTACTCGTCCCACTCGGCCTGGTAGCAGCTCCCGGCCGCCGGCGCTCCGAGGCCGTATTTCCGCCTGAAGCTCTGGACCTTGAACGTCCCGCGGCCGTCCCCGGAGCGGTTAGTGAGGACGGGCTCAGAGCAGCTCAGGCTGCCCGGCTGCTCATAAACCAGCCACACGTACCGGTGCAGGCCTGAGGGAGTTAGGAGAATAATAATAGTTTATTTAATCAGGACAGTGCACATTAACTCATTGGCTGCCAAAGACGTCTATAGACGTCTTTTATGTTTTTCAACGAGAGTGGCTTGGGGAACGATCAGCTAAAGTTTTTCGGTAAATATCAGGCTTCTAGACAGAGTATGTAGTAACAAATTGACCCTCTAGGGGGCAGTGCCACTTTTGATGGGAGATGAGCATAGACTGTAGGCAAATAAGAAAAAGGTAATGGTTCTATGAGAGAACATGTCGCCGGTGAGACGCAAGTCCAGGAAGAACGGAATAAGGTAGAAACAAAAAAATTTTTCCTGATGAAAGAAGAGAGTCTACTCTTTCTTTTGGTGTGTTCGTTGTTTACATAGTCATAGCACAAACTATTCTGTGGCTCTTGAAAAATCAGTGAAAATGCTCAAAAAACTCAGGCAGTATGGGACTCTCTGTTCTGAAAATGGCTGGCAGTCAATGAGTTAAAGAACAATCTCATACAGATTGTAAATGAGACAGATTCTAGCATAGTTGCTAATTCGCATCTGTCGTCCTGAGGCAGGAAGACAAAACAACACAAAATCACAAGATACAATATCCTGTTAATAATAACAAAAACATAGTTTAGGGCGGTTTACAGGGAAAGCTTGTGTCTCTTCAGATTGTAACATCAGAATAAGACCAAGACAAGGAGGTAAGCATTTTATTTCAGTTTTACACGTCTAACCGTATGTAATAGTTTTTAAAAAAAAATTTTTTTTTTTTCTTTTTGTGAACTTCACAAAATATGTGAGCCAAATATGTGAGTATATGTGGGTTAATCGTTGCCTAATGGTTCGGACGTGGCGATAGGGGTAAGAAGTGTTCATTTTTTTCTCTGTGTGAAGAATTGTTTAATGTTGTTTATGTGTTATATGGTTTCTGTTAATCTACTGGTTTCTGATGGGAAGATTTTCTGTTAGGGTTGTCAAAAGTATCGATACTCAAAAAAGTGTTAAGAAAATTGTAATTGCTTCCTGGCAATATAGACATCAATTTAAAAATAGTGAAATTAATCTTGCAAACACTGAATTAAACTCTATCCATAATATGATGTTAAAATAGTGGATGTTAAATAGGTTTGTACAATAAGTCCAAACAAGTTTAACCAAACAATATTTATTTCTAACAATTATGAAGGATGGAGGGTCAGGGTTAGGGGTAGGGTTAGGGTTAGGGTCAGGGTCGGGGTTAGGATCAGGGTTAGGGTTAGGGTTAGGGTCATTAATGTGGGCCACTATAACATCAGTAACAGGTCAGTTTGAAACCAAAGACACTAACCTGTCAAAATTCAGTTAAATTTTGGTGTCTTTATTTTTATCCTTGTGGTATCGAGTATCGAATATTTTCCTGAGTATCGGTTAGGAAGTTGAACATTTTAGTATAGTGACTACCCTATATTCTGTTACGTTATTTTCGTTGTAATTTTTTGCTAAAAATATGCAAATTAGCACTATTAATATCGCGACCATTATGAAGTTAAAAGGTGCTAACGAGCCCATTGTGTCACAGGAATGCCATTCACCCCATTTCCAGTGTGCCTCATTATCTGCCCTTTCTGTTATAGAGGGAAATAAATACTACTTGGATGGAGACCCCTCTTCTCTCCCGTCTCATACTTGCACCAATCACAGCTATTAGCTATTTTACTGTAACTTTACATGTACAGGAAGCCACTCTGTGATTGGTTGATTGGCCTGTGGTTTTCCCCTGATCTCACCTGTGCCCTGAGGAGGACCAGAGCCCACGTAGTCGGACATCACGCAGCCCGAGGAGACGTCGTTCCCCTTCATGTTGACCAGCAGGAAGTGGTGCCACTCCCTTTGACGAAAACAAAAGTAAGAAACAGTTTGTGCGGGAGATCCTGCAACGTCATTGTGCGCTACAGTCCTTAACCCTGTAATGCCAAACGTATCATATCTGATACGTACGGTTTCTGAAATGTTTTGCGTCTGACACCTTTTGCATAATTTAATGGTAAAAACTTTGCTCAAAATCCTATTGTACACAATCAGATACACCTGATAACAGGGGGCAGAAGACTACACAAAAAATAATCTTGACTTATCGCATAGTAATAAATTATTAATATCAAAAATGTATTTCTCTTTTTTCATTTTACATATTTTGTTAAAAGGCCAAATAAGGAATTCAACCAAAAATAAGGAATTTTCTGTTTTGTTTTATTCTTGGATCAGGCTTTAAAGGGTTGAAACTGACAGAAAGGACTATTTCTCGATCCTCCCCTCTCTCACCTGAATTTGGGGTCTTTCCTGCTGGGGGCGTCCGGGTCCGTAAGGGCTAAAGTGTAAAGTTTACTGGGGTCACATCCCTCCCACTCCACGGAGGTGGGTCGGTTCTGCACCTGCAGGGGTTCAAGAGGAAATAATGAGTTGGGTCATGTCTGCCACGCGGTGGCGCTGTTGTGCGGCTAACAGGGCTGCAGGTGTGCTGTGGACATTATGTAACCCAATTCATAATGAAAAGGAACAATGGACGGAGTTTAATAAATTCAAACAGAGTGCGTTTCAAACAGACCGTAGATCTGTACTCGTTAAGATAATAGCTTAGCCTAGCTTAGCTTAGTTTAGCTAGCGGCGCTACTTTGAGCTAAGCTAATTTTTTTAGCTAGCCAGTAAGTTGACGGACACACTTACCTGCGTCGGCGTGAACACTTTCCCGAGCTCGTCCAGCTCCAGAGAGCCGTATTTGACGGTCAGAGGCCGGGCGGGCTGCTCCTCCACCTCCTGCAGGGCCAGGGGCCCGGTCCACTGGCTCAGATCCAGGGGCATTTCGGGCGACGGTTGGGTCGCAGACACAGAATGAGCTGCCGTTAGCAACAGCCGTTGACAACAGTCCAGAGTGGTGCGTTCAAGGACGCCTGGAAAATGCTAGAACGTTCAGGCAACACGCGCCTGAACGAAAACCGTTCAAAATATTTCAAATGTTTTAGGAAACCATGTTCCGAAAGCCAAGTTAGCCATGATATCATTTAAAAAATAAATAGAATTAAATGTTTATTCTTTATTATTATTATTGCAATAAAGACATACATTCAGTCACTAGCTATTGTGAAATATGTATGCATAACTTTAAATTCTGTTTTTTATAATTTTTATAGTATAACATCTACAATTAACGATTAATAGTCTTGTTATTGTTTGACGTTTTAATGACGTTTGTAACCTGTTTCTGTCGGCACCAGCTATGAGTGACCGCCAGAGGGCGCCACCACGCCATTAAAAACCACATTTCTTTTGCTGAAATTTCTGGTAATGTCCCTCTCTCATGCTCCATGACCACAATATCGCTTTCAAAACATCCACATTTAGTTAGAATCAATTGTTTTCTTCAAAGGGAATCACAAAGCTTTTTTTAAATAAGTTAGCTGCTTTAGTTACAGACTCCACCTCAGCTTAATTTTCCTGTTTATTTCTCTTAGAAACTCTTCTTCTTCTCCTTTGTGGAGATCACTTCTGCTAAGACTCCAGTAAACAGGAAACAGTGGTTAAAACGTCTTTATAATCTCGTGGCTCAGCGTGAACCCTTTTTATTAAAGACACCATTTTCCCACGCTACGTCCAATTAAGACAACAACAAAAAAGCGTACTGTGCCTTTAACAAGGTGAGAGTCCTGGGTGTGGCCTTCCAGGTCGGAGCGTTTCCGGACCATCCTGCTTCTGTAAACAAAGCACGTCGGAAACGTGGAGGCACTTAGCCTCGGACCTGTCGCCGGTCGGTTGGTTCCCCGGTAATGGCCGTACAGGTGTCACCAGGACCCGGGCTGCGCGCGCAGGAGGACCGCCTCCCACAGGTGGACTAAAAAAAACACAAAAAAACCCCTCTGCTTACTACTTATTTCTGACGGCGATGTAGGAGAGGTATCATGAACAAAACCGCCACTTTAGCGCTTCTTCAACTACTTCTGACCGCCTCAGGTGAGCTTTAACCGCACCTGCGCATGCGCACACAGGTAAACCCGCAGCCGCTCACTCTTCTTCTCTTGTTCGTTACAGCGGCGGTTTCGGGGAACCAAACGGTCATAACGGCCGCTCCGGGGGACGAAACGGTCATAACGGCCGCTACGGGGGACGTCGTCATACTTCCTTGTTCCGCGGAGAGCGGCGCGCGACTGTCCGGGACCCGGTGGACCAAAGACGGCCAGGAGCTGGAGCTGGACCCCGGGGCTCCCGGTAATACGTCAGA